ACTATTTAAATGCAGGCCGGAAAATGTTTATATTTAAAATAAAACCAAACATGGTGAAGGAAGCAAATGTAAAAATAAAAAATAGAGAATGTACAGTTATTTCTGTGTTCTAGATCACATGACTCCTACAGCACTTGACGTCACTGCACGGCTTTGACTTTTTTCTTTTTTCAAACTAGCACCAGTGCTGGTGAAAACACTGACAGACTGATTCTGAACAGCCAACAATGCTTTTAAATAAAAAAGGGAGAAAATAACATCAATAAATACAAGAGGTTACCATGAAACATAAAAAAGGTTCAAATGATGACTGAGAATCACCGAGTCGTCCCTTTTCAACGCCAGTTTGATTTCTGTGAAACAGGAGGGAGGGGCCAGGAAGAGATAAATATGGAAGAGAGGGATGATGGGAAGCCTTGACCGAGAGCGTCACAACATCACAGGGTTAACAAAAACACTTTCCATTATGATGTTCCAGTTCCTTAAATCTTCAGAGTCTCAGTGTCCATCAACAGTTCTGGCATCTCCACAGAACCGAGGGATGGGGGTGGGGTGGGGGTACATCAACAAAGCTCTAAACTCACATCCTAAGACTAGTGCCGTCCATTACACGTGTTAATGATAATAATAATAATGAGGATAATATAAATAAATGCATTACTACAATGATCTGTCGTCTTTTTTCCTTCGTATAACAGAGGTCTTGAAGGTCAGATTACAACAGCACAACACATTAACAGCTTCCTGTCGTCGTCGCTGTTCCTCAGCCTCTTCACGTCGTACAGTAACAAGTCAGAGAAAGAGACCAGAGGCCGGATGTCAGCGGACTCAAAGACTGAGATGAGCCGACGGGGCCTTGATTTCTGTTGTCGCTTGGTGTAGATGATTGACAGTGACAAATCAGGATGAGTTAACTTGTCAACTGTGGAACAGCCATTGTGATGTCATCAAACGGGGCCGTCTCTATGAATGCTGAGGCCATCATGTCCCACCTGTCATTGGTTCAGCCCTGATGACATCACAGCAGCGGTTCGAGTCTTCCAGATTTGTCCCCGTCGATTATTTACACTGACAACATAGAAAATAAGACCCATTTCCTTTAATAACAAATGATCATCATCATCACAGCGTGACAACTAACCTCAATGTACGCACAGTAAGAACCGGGATGAGCTAGTTTACCTGTACACCATCGTTCTGACCGGTGACATGGCACCGCTACCTATAGTCATCGGAAAACCTCATCTACATGAAAATGTTCCCTCACGTAACGTCAATGCATCGTTTGGTTTCCTGTGGAATGGAGGTATGGTTATTTTCTACTCAACTTGAAGCAGATAAACGTGTCAAAACACGTCGCTACAGTGACATCATGTAAAAATTGCTCATCACCCGAATGCGTGACATCCTGCTGTTAAACCCAAAAGTGAGAATGGGACGTAGGGAAGTGGTGAACGTGGAAGTTGCAAAAACATGAAGCTCATCAAACGTACACATACAGTTACAGCAGACCCTCAGAGACCAAAGCTTCTTGTCTTCAAGTGTAAAAACTCCAACAAGTCTTTGCTGTCGCTGTCAAACCATTCAGGTACAAAGAAGGATAAAGAAGCCAAACCTCTGAGTCTTTACCAGAACCTCCTCTGCATTGACACATTGGTCACTAAGATAAAAACAGTCTGGACTTGGTTCAGACCACCATGGTCAGAATATGGATTAAAAACATGGTGACGAAGGCAACAAGAGAATATTCCATCGAGACAAAACTCCCCACGAACTTTATCAGAAACAACACTGACACCGTTGACTCCAGAGACTGACGGACACGATGTCTCATTAGTAAAGAAGGCATCAGACCCTCACAGCAGCTCAGTCTGTCAAACCCTCACAACCACAGGACTCAGTGTTCACGAGCTGGTCTTGAACAGTCTGGACTCCGCTCAGGGTCTGTGGCTGTGGGCCCTGGGGACCTGCAGCATAAATCCTCATTAATGTTCCAGAGCGAGAAGCTCAGTGTTAGAGGGCAACATGCAGGAGGGAGGCATAGTGAAGTCCATGCAGCTGATAAAAACTACATCATGTCTGTCTGCAGTCCATGAGCCTGCCCCCCTGCCCCCCCTAAGTCAGTCCCTCTGAGAGTGACAGTCGCATGGCCTTGTGGGAACGTCCGTGAATGAAGTCTCTGCTCGAGGAAAGTTTAGAAAGATACTAGAGATGTGTGAGCAACTGATGTGTGAGCAACTGAGTGTATGTGCAAATCTTCCATTTCAGCCATGTGTCAGAGTGTGTGTGTGTGGCGTCCACTTTGTGTTTAGGGTATGTTCATGTCATGCAGGACCAGGACTGACACACACTATCCTTCACTCACACACCACAGCCACACATGGAAATGAGGAAGAGGAGCGTGAGCAGGAGGAGGAGCAGTGTTGGCACCTCCAGAAACCGTGGCATGTGACTGCCCCCCCTCCTCCCCCCATTTGACCCCCACCCCCAACAGTCCCACCCCCACTCATCTCATAGCTTATATGAATGGGCCACCGGGCATACCCAGGAAGTTGGGCGCACCCATGGCCATGGGAGGGGGCGCCGTTGATCCGCTCCAGTGCACCTTCATGTGGTGCCTCAGGTTGGACTTGGAGGAGAAGCGCTTATCGCAGTGCTGGCAGGAGAACGGCTTTTCCTTGGTGTGGATGCGGCGGTGGCAGATGAGTTGTGTGGAGACACGGAAGGACTTGCCGCAGTCTGGGCACTGGTAGCGTTTGGGCTCTGTGTGAATCCGCCGATGGTTCTTGAGGGACATCAGGTTGGGGAACTCCTTCTGGCAGGAGTTGCAGAAGTAGGTCCCAGTCTTGTGACTGTTCTTGTGGTTGAGGAGGGAGCTGGCGTGGCGGTAAGACCGCCCACACTGGTCGCAGACATGGGACTTAATGACCTCACTGCTGCCCCCACGACTGCGGGTTTTGGCCACGCTGGCTGGGTTAAGTCCTTGCTCTTGCATCAAGGTGAGGTCTAGGCCTGACCCCCAGCCCAAATCCTGGGAGCCCCCTGGTCGGGGCTGCTGGGTTCTGGGCTGGCGGGGATGTGGTGTCTGGCCATGGCTGATCTCCATGTGGAGTCTGAAGCTGGACTGCGTAGGAAAGGCTCGTTGGCAGGACCGGCATGTCAATTCCCGCTGCTTCTGATGGACTCGGCGGTGGTTGTAGAGCTGGGAGGAAACACGGAAGGCCTTGCCACAGTCATGGCAACGGTGGCGTCGCGTCTCAGAGTGGATACGGCGGTGGTTCTTCAGGGCAAGCAGATTGGAATAGGTCTTGAGGCACACAGCGCAGTGGTAGATGCCGACGGTGTGGGTGTTTTTGTGGTTGAGGAGGGAGCTGGCATGGCGGTAGGAGCGGCCACATTGATCACATCTGTGCAGATACAAAGACGTAAAAACAAGAGGGGGAGCATAGGAAGGGGAGGAGGGACAGAAGGAAAGAAAAAGAGATTAGCAACGGAAGGTGGTTGTTTGTTTTCATTTATCTAGCCAAATTAATCTCAGGTTACTGGTTACCACTTTATCTTTTAGAATCACTGAAACATTTTTACTTCTCATCACCTAAGATGTTGTACATACAGGTATATGATCTGAAATCCGGCTTAAAGCTTTTAAAGAAGACTATTACAAAGTGGTGTACCATTTAAAGTTATGATTGCTAGAAAGGTCATAAGGGAGAGGACTGCCGGGTGGGTGAGGAAGGAGGGACATGGGAGAAACTATGGACTAAGGGGGATTCATGTAGGGAACTTGGAGGTATCTGCTGCTCCCTGCACTGCACAAATGGACACAAGCTTCAAACAGCTTCTTTCACAACTGAGAACAATTTCCTGACAATTCACCACCTTCTTTTGGGTGATTACTAAATTCTGAATGTAGGATGCAAACCAATCAAACATACCCATAGAACCTCAATCATGTCAGACTGTAGTTGCTTGCAGTAAATGTGCAGGAGCAAAGAATCCGTGAACCTCTAGACATGTGCAGTGCAGCTAGCTCCAAATACTTCCTTATCCTCCCTGTGACTTCAATTTGCCAAGACAATCACAATGTCCCATCACATAACTGCAGTTTCTAGGCTAACAAATGGCCAGTATGATGTTCTAACTAAAGAAAACAAACAGACAAATCAAAAACTACAGTCAACATCAGAGCAATAGTGAGGAACACACAACATCAATGCTTAAGATTTTGCTAATGTGCTACACAAAAAATTCTACAAAACTTAGACAAAGTGTGCTAAGAAAACAAAGCATGAAAACAGTTTATCTAAACATGTAATGTTTGATTGTAGGTAGCCTAAAAAAATTGAGTGTGTGATAAATGCTAACTGAAAGCAAACGGGGTTGACTTATCTGGTCTCTCCACTAATTCAATTTGTCCAAACTTCAGAAAAATCCGAATTCCGGCACGCGTATGGTCCCAAGGAAGCCGGATTGGAGATCATATACCTGTAATAGACATGTAGAGACCTAAATTTATCTTCACTATTTTTTTCAACTTCGAAGAATCACAAACAACTGACGAGAACTCACGTGTACCGACACTCTTCGCCCTCTCCTGCGGGTGCAGTGGCCTTCCTCCTGACTTCCATGCCTACCTGGTTCTCCCCACAGCGATGCCTGGCCAGACCGGACCTCCCCTGGAAACTCTTCCCACAGCTGGGGCAGCCAAAGGGGGTAGCACCCTCCTCGTGAACCTTCTGATGGTTGCGGAGGAACCTGGCCAGCCGGAAGGCTTTCCCACATGTGTGGCAAATGTGCTTCTTCCTTTGCGTGTGGATGCGCATGTGGTTCCGCAGCGCCATGTAGTTAGTGTAGGGCTTGTCGCAGAAGTTGCACCGGAAGTTGCCTGTCTTGTGGGTGTGCTTGTGGTTCAGCAAGGAGCTTGCATGTTTGTAGGCACAACTGCACAGGTCACAGGCGTAGGGTCTCTCATCAGAGTCCAAGTCAACAGAACTTCTCTCCATGCTGATGTTGGTGGAGCTGTTGGTGGAGGAGGACGAAGGCAGGTGCTGGGCTGGGCAGTCATGGGCTGCAAGCTCATCAGCCGTAGCAAAGCCTTCACAGCAGCCATCGCACTCAAAATCCATTTGGGCCCCAGGGCCCTGTGGGCCTTTGCAGAGGCCAGCTGTAGAGTGGGTAGCTAGCTGTCTCTGAGTGCGGAAGCCCTTTCCACACTCTTGGCAGTTGTGCTTCTTCTGGGCAAAGTGGAGACGTAGGTGGTTTTTCATTGCCAGCCTGTTGGGGTACGTAGAGTTGCAAACATTGCAGTGGTACTCCCCAATTTTGTGAAGGTTCTTGTGATTAGCTAGGCTGCCTGCATGTCGGTATGTCTTTCCGCATTCTTCACAGGCAAAAGGCCGCCGTCCACTTTCAGCAGGGTCAAACTTCTGAGGTCTGGAAGTTCCAGCTGAAGAGTAGGGTTTCTTGAACCCTTGGTGGCTGTATTTGGCACCCATTACCTGGCCCTTCGATGACTCTCCTCTCATAGTCTGCATTTGAGATGGGCCTGGCTGCTGGAAGCGGGAACCGTTTGGGCCAGTTCGGACGAGACCTTTGGCCCGATGCTCCTCGTGGAGACGAAGGTGGTTAATCAGCTGCTTTTGGATCTTGAAAGCCTTACCACATTCTTCACACTTGTGCCTGCAGCAGGGGTGGGTAGAGATGAAGAAAAAAACAATAGAAATATGTAGCCAATTATCTCCAAGCAATATCTGGGTAGCAGTGATATTTAATGTGACCTTTTGTGGATGCTATTGTTTTATTAACTTTGCCAACAAGTCCCTGTAGAGTCGGCAGCGAGGGGATATGGTTATGATCACTCACTACATTTAAATATCAGAATATGTACCCTGGCAGACAGCCTTGAGCAAAACCACAGTTCTAAGATGAATTGATTGAGATAGAATTAAATAATTAACTGAGCACAGATATGAAGGCTCAACACAATGGTTGACATGGTAAACCATGGTTAACACAGCAGTTGTTCAGTGTCCGAAAAAAGAATGAAAAATTGTGGGACAGGTCTTTTGTATTTGAATTTAGTACAAAGCACAGCTACAACTTAACTCATTCACTTGTCATAGTGTGACTAAAACATTTCTTACCCTAATGCCAAACTCAGATAGCATTCCAGACATTTCCTTAAACATTGGTAAAAATTTGCATTGACTTTAAAATGTACAAGATTTGCCAGAAAATTGCAATGAATCAGGGACCTACCTTTTCAGGTCAAAGTGGGTCCTTTGGTGATTCTTGAGAGCCAGCAGATTGTAGTAGCGTTTCTGACATACCAAGCAGCGAAAAACACCAGTTTTATGTGACTTCTTGTGGTTGAGGAGTGAGCAGGGGTGTCTGTATCCTCGTCCACACTGGTCACACTTGTGGGGCTTGTCACTTTGGTCAACCATAGGCCTGCGTCCATCACCACCAACATCACGGCTCCCCCCCGCAACTCCCCCACCAACGCCATCGCCTCCAGACATCCCTTTGGCTCCATTCAGGCCCTGCTTGCTCAGTGAACTGGCCCGATTCTTACCAGGACACAGGTGGGTGATTAGGTGGTGGCGGTCAGCAAAAAACATACCACAGTCAACACAAATGTGGTTTCGCCCATCCATCTTGTCATTGCCATTAGCTGAGCTGCTTCCAATACCCTGCTGCTGGCCGTCTGGCCTTTGGGGGCCATGGACTAACTGGTGATTCAGGAGGTCCTGCTTCCTAGAGAAGCTCTGGCCACAGGTAGAGCAGATCATTCTCCAATCCTGCTCCAGGTTGGAAGGTCCTGGTCCTGTTGGGTTGTTGGCATGGCTACGCAGGTGGCTCCTAAGAGCTCTGAGGCTGGCATAGTGGTTACCGCACACAGAGCACTGATACACTTCTCCATCATCCTCATCACCTTTGTCGTTGTTCCCCATTCTCTTCCCTCCGCTCTGGGAGTACTGTCGTTGGCTGCCGCCTTCTTTTAAGTTACTGGAGCTTCCAGCAGGTAATGATGTTCCACTAGAGCTGTGATAGTTCATATTCCCCATAAAACCATTGGACATGTTGCCTTGCTGCTGTGGCTGCTGGCCATGGCGGGGACACATGTGTGACTTGATGCCAGATACATCACCATACATTTCACCACAGTCAGCACACACATGTCTGTCAGCCTGACGGTGTGCTGAGTTGCTTTGGGAAAGTGAGCTGCCATCAAAACGATCATGAAACTCAAGAGAGTCCAACCCACTGCTGTGGCCACCATCCGGTACAAAGTGGGCAGCATCACCGAGATTCCCTGGCAGTGAGATTGGAGTGGTGGCACCACTGCCTTCCTGGACATAGCTCTGCTGGGAGTCCAAAGTTAGTGGCTCTGGAGAAAGCCAGTCATTGCTGTCGTTATTAATAGGCTGGTTTGAGGAACGTCCCTTGTGGCTTCGTAGGTGGCTGTGTAGTGCTGCCAGGTGAGGGTACTGCTTACAGCAGATGGTGCACTGGTAGTGGCCTGTCTGATGGCAACGTTTGTGGTTCACCAGACTTCCTGCATGCCGGTAACTTTTTCCACACTCCCCACACTTAAAGCGACGCTCTCCATCATCTGGAGAATGTGCCTGGGGCACACGGCCTCCAGAGGGAGAGGATACTGAGCCCTGTGATCCAGAACTTAGTGTGTCAGAGTTGAGGATGGATCCATCCTGTCCATGGGAAGCAGGGTGGGGATCATGGGTTAGATAGTGGACTTTCAAGGTCTCAAGATCTGGGTGTCCTGCGCCACAGTATGCACACGTGTAGATGGGATTGTTGACTGGAGGGCCCATTATAGGGTCATAGGGTCCTCTTTTCTCAGTGGGCAGAGGTGGCAGGGGCAAAGGGTCCCCCAGGGCTGGTGTGTATGCTGGGGATCGAACTGCACTTAGATTGTGAGGCATGATGCCAGGGAAACTGCGGGGCAGGCCAAGGGATGGCGAGGCTGTGTTGTGCAGCAGGATGTGCTCCTGAAAGTCTGCTTTATTTGGCAGTGCTATCTGGCACAGGTGGCAGAAACACGAGGTTGTGTCGTTGCTCTGGGATGACTGAGTGCCGCTGCTGCCACTACCACTGCTGCTCACCATTGATGCCCCAGGAGTCTTGAACTTCGAGTGAGTTCTCTCGTGGCTGTTTAGGGCGGCCAGGTTGTTGAATTGTTTGAAACACACAGAGCACTTAAAAGTTCCTTGTTGGTGACACTTCTTGTGGTTCACCAGACTACCGTGATGCCGGTAGGTTCTGTCACACTGATCACACTTGAACGGTCTGTCCCAAGCGTCGTCAGATTCAGGGGAGCCTTTTTTTCCGTGTTCGTCTGTCTCGTGGCCTTGTAGGACGCTATGTCCCATACCACTATTATTCAAATGGGAGCGGCCAAACCCGTCTGAGAGGTCCTGGGCGAGACCGTAGTCCCTCTCGTCGTGGCCTGCGTCTTCAGGTACTTCTTCGCTCTCTTCTTCTGTGTGAGCACTACTGGGAGACAATGTATGAATACGAAGGTGGTTCTTTAAGGCTACAGCGTTGGGTAGGGTACGGGTACAAACAGGACACTGGAATGAGCCCACTTCGTGAGACTTTTTGTGATTAGCTAAGCTAGCTGCGTGCTTGTAAATTCGGCCACACTGTTCACACTCAAAACGTCCGGTCTCTTCTTGCTGATAATGTGCTTTCATATGCTCTAGAAGACTTGGAGTACTCGGGCAAACCATATCACATTCTTTACAGGGGAATCCCTTGGCACGACTCATATCATGCATTGCCATAGTACTCTAAAGCAAATCAGTTGGAGAGATTCACAGTTCACAACAGAGCAATGAACAGTGATGTAAGGGAGGTGGAGGAACAGTGGGGCTTAGCTCTTCAGTGGAGGTCAAAGATGGCAGCCAGTTTCTCCCCAAGAACCAGCAGTGCAGGTCCAGCCAATCGGGGCCCACCCTTGGAGGTGGTGACCCTGTTGGGGTCACACCAGCCACTGAGGTATCACTGTGAAGACAAGAAGAAAAAGAACCTGGTCACTTGATGAGTGTGAACAAAAAGAAAAGAACCCCTCTCTGAGAATTTTACCAAACAACACGACAGATTATTAAACATATCTTTTTACCTCATAAAGGATTATGTCAAAATGACTGAACAGATTTTCATCTTTCTTTAACATTGTGACGTAAACGTTGAACGATGTCAACGAGTCCTTAGAGAATAATTCATAGATCTTGATTATTTATAACTGGATTAAGTCGACTGTTGGTGGATGTATGAGCTCCACTGAGTGATATTCTATTTTTTAATATCATTTAATGACCAAAAAAGACAAATGATCTTTTTTAACAGCAGATCTGTTTGAATTTTTATCTTAAGAATCAGGAGATGTGTGATTGCATCTTAATGAAGGATTTCAACACAAGTCACGTTTCCTTTGGATCTGACATGATACAGCTGCACCAGTCACACCTGACGGCCCTCTGCAGGACACACCTTTGTTTACAGTGTAAATAGGATGGCACTCGGCTGTGAAACACCCATAGACAAACAAATCTCCATAGCTGCCCCGTCCCCACCAGCAGTCGTATGCTCTCCAAGCAGAGGACGGTCATTTACTCAGTTCAGCAGTAGCTCAGTCCATAGAGATTTGGCTTGGGAACCGGAGGGTGGCCGGTTCAAGTCCAGCATGGACTAAAAGTATGGAAGGTGGACTGGTAGCTCAAGAGGTGCCAGTTCACCTCCTGGGCACTGCTGAGGTGCCCTTGAGCAAGGCATCAAACCCCCCAATTGCTCGCAGGGTGCTTCTCTGGGGCTGCCCATCACTCTACCATCTCTCTCCATATTTGCATGTCTATGAGCCCTTTGTGTGTGTGTGTGTGTGTGTGGGGGGGGATGTGGGGGGGAATGTGGGTTAAAAACTGCATGTATAAATAAAAATGAGTGTAAAAAGAATAAAAAAAGTATGTCTTCTTTCTTCTCTTCTGTAGCTGCTTTCAGACGTGCACTGACCGGAGGAGCACGTGTGAAGACAAATGTCCTCACTTTACACTTTAACAATTAACACCAGCACTGATCCCAAGTTATTAGGACATAAACAGGACTGACGTTTACTTTGTGTTTGTTTGATTCTGTAGAGCAGAGATGTCAAACTCAAGGCCTGTGGGCCACTTCTGGCCCGTGGTACAATTATATCCGGCCCACTATAAAATATAAGTCTATCTTAACTGGCTCGCTGGTGCGCAATACCCGGCTGTTAGCCAACATTGCAGCATCAGCAACAAGCTAACTCCGTGTTGTTTAGCTTGTGCATTTCTTTTGAAGCTGTATAATGATATTATTAGGCTATAACCAGTGCAAATATGGATCAGTGTATAATATCTGAAAGTTCAAAACGGTAAAATATACCTTGAATAATTCTCTACAAGGCTTATGTCAAAGCTTAATAAAAATACACTCCTACAAAAAATACTGTACTGTAAATCACCTGATAAGTATTCTGCCATGTTGCGCAAAACTAGCAGCAACCCCATGTAAACAAACACAACTGATCGTCAGCTGTGCTGCGGCGGCATGCCTCGGTGACATCACCCCAGAGAAAGCCCAGGATGTAAACAAAGCAACTCGCTAAGTTAACGCTAGCTCCGAGGCTGGCGAGACTCACAGGGGACTAGTGCTGGAGATTCATAGTAAAAAAGAGTTTCGCGGCAGATAATGCGTTATTTAGAGGCTGTATCGTGGATGCCCCAATCACTTGCGTTGTATGGATATACACCGATCGCGTGTGGATCTAAAAGCGTCCGAAGGACTCCAAGTTACTCCAAACCTTTATGGGTGAGTAGATCTACAAACCATATGCTGGAAATAAGGACCAGGTTGAAAAAAAACCGAACTTCTCCTTTAACTGATGAAAAAGCAGCAATTTTCCATAAAGTAGTGGTTGTGATACACTGAGATACATCGCGGTGCATTCGAGTCGTGACTCGTGACACTAGTGAGGGTGCAAACCTCCCTTATTCAGATGATTCATTATTCAGTCGTTTGTGTAATTTGGTCAAAAACCAAAAAGACCTGTTTAAGAATAAATAAGGTCAAATGTAAATCACCCACTGTTGATAATTAAGATGCGTTAGTGCAGATTATTACACACAGGAAACTAACAAGTCACTCAGATCAATAGTTCTTAATGAACCAGAGCGGTTTAAGTGAGTCCATGGCTGAGACAGTTGTAACAAGATCATCTGTAATCTGTACCAGATTACACCAGGCCACCGAGACACACTCAAGAACCTCTCAAAGACTTTCTGTCTTCCTTCTAAAGATTCTCCAAGAAATGAAGTCACAGGAAGCAAATTTACCAATGTGGACACTGGAAGAACATTTCTTCTGCATAGGTCGGGGGGTAGAGGTAGCTAAAAGGGGGGGGAGTTTTTTGGTAGTTGTGAGCCTGCGTCCATCTTTTCAGACACGATTTGCGGATAAAGTCCGGAGAATTGAGCCCAGACTTTACCTGCGGTTTGTGTTTCACACCTGAACGACACAGCAGCAGGTTTTCTGCACAGACTCGTTCACATTCTTCAGCTGAGAGGTGGAGCACCCGGGCGCAGCAGAGACAGGAAGTGACGTATTAATGAACAATCATATTCATTTTCACCGTGAAAAAGCAGAGACACGCAGAAGACACAGGCGTAGATGTCAAGAGCTTTTAGTGATAACAGCTGACTCTTGTGTCAATGTGTTTTTTAGAATTTAGTTGTAACTGATATGACTCCTAACGCTGTTATTGTCTTTATTGAGGATAACATAGTGTTTCTATGAACATGGAGATGGAAAAGCTTGAAATACACATGAGAACCATTTCTCTGTGACTGATATTAAAGAACATATGATCGAATCAACAGACTTAATCAGCTCATATTTAATCACGACGCAAGACAAATGAAACTTACATTTGTCATTTGAACAAGTTGCGATGAAAACATTTGATATAGTGACACAAATCAAACAGATGTTCTACTAGAGGTCTGATCCGACTGATGCACCAGACATCACAGATCATATGTTTGATGAAGAGAAGCACACACACTTTTCATTTTAATCATAACAGAAATTAAAAAACACTTTGTTTTCATCATGTTATAACCAAGATTCCAGGTTAACAAGTTTCAGTTACTGTGACAAATCTGTGTTCTGTATACACACACACACAAAACACACACACACACACACACACACACACACACACACACACACCTTTTGGGCGGCTCTAACAATCAGTAAAATCGTCCACATGTGAATATCTGATATTAGACATCCGACTCTTTTCCCACATTTCAGATCAAACTTTTAATTATCACACATAATAAGCAGCAGATTGACTGATAATAAATAATTGGTAAATATAGTTTGTGTCATTCTGTAAAACTACTGTCACTTTTAATTAGCACCATTTCAGAGAACGCTTGACTTCAACATGTACATAACAGAAATATTTCAAATAAATATTCGTATCAGAGCTGCAATGATTAGTTCCCTTTGTATTTCCTGTAACATGAACATTGGAACAGGAGCTGAGGTGAAGACACTGGTTGGTTATAAACTTTAAACCCTGAATGTGATTTATTCTTGGAGACATGCTGATCGATGATCATCTTCATCACTCAGATTTCAATCATCTTCCTCTCTCGTGTAAACAGCTTCATACAAACACAGGATTCTGCACAAACCTCTCAAACTCTGCGGCTCCTCGCGCACACCCGACCGGAGAGGAGCCGCAGGGCTCCCTGACCTTGGCCCGTCTCTCGTCGCTGGGGTTCAGCCCCAGCACGGATTCATCGGGACAAAGCGGAGCATCGCCGCCGACATTTCCTTCTGCCGACCCCCGATTTAACCGCGGGAGTGACACCCGAGCCTCGGCCGGCCGGGACAGGGGGCCGAGAGCGGTTGTTAACTGTGAACAGCCGCGTTGTTTCGGCCATGAGTGTCCGGCATGATGCTCCCAGCAGAGCGGGACTGAACCTGCGGCCATCAGCCACTTTCACCGAGACCCCGTCTCCGTCGGAAAATGGCTTTCGAGCAGCGAGCCATTTTCCCCATGCTAACGAGCTAACGTCGCTTTCTTACCCCCACAACCTGCCCGTTAGCACATGAGCTACATCCGAAGACAGAGAGGAGTCCGGCCGCTGGAAACACGACGCCGCCGCACAGAGGAGACCACACGGAGCCATCCCCTCCGTCACGGTCCAGCGATTCGTTTATAAAACGGGGAAAACAGACACGGCCGGGCTAGCGTTAGCATTAGCACATGGCTAGTTAGCACCCTCCCCCCGCCATGAGAAGGTTTCACAACAACCAAATAAAAACACCACAAACACGCAGCTGCGTGGATTTAAACACGCACGTGTTCATCCGCACCGCACTCACACACCGCACTCACACCATCCGCAGGTGAAGCTGCGGCCGCCGCGACACCTCGCAGAGGATGGCGCTGCAGCTATCATTAGCCTCGGGATGCTAACCCAGAGCTACACAAAGATGTGGACAAACACACCGCGGCCCCGCGCACACAGAACCTCGATGTTCTGCCGACAGACGCTCCACACTCACCCTCTGATGGCCTCTGTGGCCGCCGGGCGGACGATGCACGGCGCGGAGGTGCAGAATGTGCACGTTTCACGGATTAGACATGGTTCTTTATTTCTCCTCCTCCCGCTCCACCGCAGACTCTGGGCTCTCGGGTCTTTCCCCTCCGCCGCGCAGACACTCACTTCCTGCCGCTGCCGCTGCTAGCGGAGCGGCGCTGTAGCGGAGCGCACACGGCAGCGCGTCATCATGCGCAACTAGAGCAGCGGCGCGGCGCGCTACGATATGATGAAGATGAAGAAGATGATGAAGATGAGAAATACTTGATTGATCACAGTGGGACACTGTGTTAGTTTCAGTTGCTCCATTCAAGAGCAGAAATATAAGATTAAAGTAAATATACAAATCCAATCAAATGTAAAATATATACAAAATGTGCAAACATGGATATGAAATAACTCAGAGTCTGACTCAGACAGAAGAGCTGTGCAGTTGGATGGACACGGACAGGAAGGACTTCCTGTGACGATGATGAAGAAGATGGTAATGATGAAGATGATGGTGATGAAGATGTTGACGATGGTGAAGAAGATGATGATAATGATGAAGATGTTGACGATGGTGAAGAAGATGATGATAATGATGAAGATGATGGTGATGAAGATGTTGACGATGGTGAAGAAGATGATGAAGATGATGGTGATGAAGAAGTTGATGATAATGATGAAGAAGATGATGATAATGATGAAGATGTTGACGATGGTGAAGAAGATGATGATAATGATGAAGATGATGGTGATGAAGATGTTGACGATGGTGAAGAAGATGATGATAATGATGAAGATGTTGACGATGGTGAAGAAGATGATGATAATGATGAAGATGATGGTGATGAAGATGTTGACGATGGTGAAGAAGATGATGATAATGATGAAGATGTTGACGATGGTGAAGAAGATGATGATAATGATGAAGATGATGGTGATGAAGATGTTGACGATGATGAAGAAGATGATGATGATGAATTGATTATCATTAATTCTATATAATAAATATAACACTATTATTATAGTCATGATTATTAATAACTAATGCTATTATTCATATATTATATATCAGAGGAACAGTGTGTAGTGACCTCTCGTGTTGCAGCTGAACACCGGCTCTACAGAGGGAGTCTGCTCTGCACATCACCAGGACGGAGCTTCATCCATGGAGGACCTCTACACTCAGCAGTGTAGGAAGAAGAGCAACCGGATCATTACAGACCCGATCACCTGAACCAGAAACTGTTGAGCCTGCTGCCATGTGGCCTCCGGGCCCAGCACCAGGCTCAGAGACAGCCCCCCCCCCCATCTGTCATAATTCATGTCTCTGCACATGATAATCTCTTTATATGCAGTCTATGATTATAATTCATTTTGTGTGCACACACACTATTATATTTGCACTACTTTAGGTTTATATTGATTCTATTTTATCTGAATACTTTAGGTTGATTGTTATTTTATATATTCTGTTTCATTTTTTATATTCTATTTCAAATTTAAATGTTTTCCTTGTGTAATTAGTTTCAGAGCATGGCTATACAACATTTCACTACATATCCCAGGGTACTTTGCGTCAGTACAGACGTCATCACTGCTCGTCTGTACTGGAGCGGTTTCCCTCTTTGTGTGTCGTCGCCTTGTGATTCTCCTGAGCAGCGACGGTCCGTGTGCAGCAGGATGGGTCCGGTGGAGGTGAGCTTCTCCATGCAGCTCCTGCAGCTCCTGCAGCTCCTGCAGCTCCTGCAGCTCCTGCAGGCTGCTCGTCTGGGGCTTCTGCTTCTGTTTCTTCTGTTTCTTCTTCTGTTTCTCTTCTTCTGTTTCTGTTTCTTCTGTTTCTTCTTCTGTTTCTCTTCTTCTGTTTCTGTTTCTTCT